ATTATGGTCTGAGTTTGAATTTCCCCCAGGAACATATGCAAAAGGCTTGGTTCCTAGATGATGGGCTTTGGGGAATGGTTAGATCATAAGACCTCTAACTCCATCAATTGCATTAATGAGTAATTGTATGGCATTATTGGGTGGCAGTGAAACCAGAAGGTGGTAGCTAGCTGAAGGGAGTTGATCATGCCAGGGAAAACTTGGAGAATATACCTACTCCCTGGCCTCTTCCTCTGTGAGTCTTTCCCTTTCGTTCTGCTTCCGAGATGCTAAGAAGTGAGCAGCTGTACTCTACCAAGCCCTTCTGTCATGATATTTCCAACTTACTACAAAGCTATGAAGCCATTTGATCATAAACTGAACACTTTGAAGATAGAAGCCAAAACAAATCTTTCCTCAAATTGTCATTCTCCAGCATTTTGCATAGTGATGTAAAGCTGACACCCATGTCATAAGATGAACCCAGAATATTTGCAAGGTTTTTATCCCTATGTCACCCTCCCCATTCTTGTTACAGCTCTATGTGCTAAAATAATAAGTTGTGCAACCAATAAAAAATCAGTGACTATATACAAATACAAAATTACATGATATAGATTTCCTTAAAAAGTTACAGAAGTGGGCCAGGGATTTAGCTCAGTGTTTCCACCACCTGCTTTGCAAGCACAAGGACCTGAGTTCGATCTCTGGTACAAAAAAAAAAAAAAAAAAAAAAAAAAAAAAAAAAAAAAAAAAAAAAAAAAGAGAAAAAAGAAAATACAGAAGTGAAAAATTTGAATTGTTTTTTTGAAGATTAAACAAGAACTTGCATAACTCTTTAGCTCTGGTTATTGTGGAGAAAATGATGCTTACAATAATGATTACTTATAATAATGTTAAAAGGGAATGTAGAAAAAGTGCATGAAACATCACTTTTTTGCTTTCAATTAAAGAATTGAAGGAATTAGTAAAAACATAACAAACAAAGATGGCCTCAAAGCAAATATTAGTGATGTAGCAATAGATTTCTCTTATCTTCTTTAGGATAGAAAACAATTGTATAACCAAATTATAATTAAAAACATGCTGTTAAATTGGTAAAAATTAGTTTCAATTTTCAGGAAAATCCCTGGAACATATTTTTGTTTGCATTGAATATATCCTATTTATTAATAGAATCTGGAAAAATATCTTAAAGAACATTTTCCATAATCTATCCCTACATAACAATTAACTGAAGCTACACATCTTCAAAGGTATTAAAAAAAAAAGTATTTTACTTTTATAGCCAGCTAGAGGGCCAAGCAAATTAGACTTACACTGGATTTTATATATCTTCTTAACTGGAAAACTATGCTAATGCATTTCCTAGAAGAGAAAAAAAAACAGGAAAGAAATATTCAGTTTAGGTATTGGCCTCCTATATATTTCCTCTGTGAAACACAGCCACCAGTTTGAGTAAAAAAAAAAATAGAGTAGTTGATCTAAATTCTAAAACTCTAACACCACAGTCATGAAAAAGGAAAAGAGGGCTGAGGATTTAGCTCAGTGGCGTAGAGCCTGCCTGGCAAGTGCAAGGTCCTGATTTCAATCCCTGGTACCAAACAAACAAACCAAAACAAAACAAAAAGTGTGTTACAGTTCAGTCAGAAGTAGTTAAATTATTTTTCAAACTCCTTTGACAAAGAAATCATTTAGAACGCCTAAAGCAGGTCACCGTCATTTTGTTCCTGATCTCTGGTAAGTATATGCTAAGATATATATATTTTTTTTCTCCCTGCCATTTCCAGGTAAGGACAGCTAGAGTTTTATTTAATACTGCCTTAATTTCTCTGCTTGTTATTTAGTTGTTTAGAATCTTTTATGTATTCTTCACTTACATTTGGCCATTCATGTAAGTATAACATTTATCCATTTCTTCAGAATGAAAACGTAATTTTAAGTAAAATAAATCAGATATACAAGAGGTTGTGAAGGGAGGAGGAGAACCAAACATTTTTAAAATGTGCCATGTACATGTACCAACTACACTCAATGAATGTAATTTTTATGTCTTAAAATCATTAACTAATAATGACAATAATGATAGTAATAATTAAAATGGAGAGAGGGGACTTAGAGAGGAAGAGAGGGAGGCAGGTGGGGAGGGGAATAAAAATAATCAGAATTTGTTTAGTTGGTGTGCTCACTCCCTACAGTGAATGCAATCATTATGTACTCCATACATGTACTAATAAAAGAAGAAAATGTCTTTCTCCACCAAGAAGAGGATCTCTAATCCTAACAGTATTTTCTTTGAGATGACAACACCTGTAAGAAAACTCCCTCCATGAGTACTAGCCTTGCCTGGGAATTTTTCTCACCTTTTAGGCCAGAGATTTGCTTTGATATCGAGCAACCAAGTTGCTATGTCTGAGAAATCCCCCGGGACTCTGTGAGGCAAAATTAGCAGAGGCCAGAGAAAACCGAACTGGGACCAAATCATCTAAATTGGTGAAAGGAATACCACAAAACTCTCAGATATTTAAAGTGTTGTTACTAAGAAAGGCTCTTAATATAGACTAAGAGGTGTACACTAAAACCAAGCAGAGTACATGCCTTTTAAACTAAAGTATTTGTGCAGAATCAGTGTCTCAGAAATTATGTCCAAAGTGCACAATATACCACTGAACTATTTGCCATTCTAAAAGTTAATAAATCAGAATTACAGCCATCCATTGGTATGTACCTACAATTGGCTTAAAGATGCCCTCCCCAGACATCCATACATCAGCATATTTGAATGCTCAAATCTCTTGATTTAACATTTTAGATGCTTAAAGTTGATTCTACGGATGCAGAACCTGTGACTATGGAAGGCTCATTGTGTGTATGTTGTATCCTGCAAGTAATCACAGTGAGATTTTAAAGCAGCTGCTATAGAAATGCATTACCAGAAATTAATTCTTTACTAAACAAATCAAAAAGTTGAAAATTTCAGCGAAGTCATAGAAATTATACAAAAGGATTACAGAACAATATATAACTACAAAATGCAACTGCCGAAATTAAAACTTTCAAGGTGGGTTGATTTAGTAATAGAGTGAGGTGTCATAGGATAGAATCAAAAAACTTGAGGATACAAAATTTATCAAATCTGAACAAAAAAGAAAACAATTTTTTATATAAAAAACTAAGCAGTGCTCATTTCGTAAAATGCTGTGAAAGAATAACTTCTCAATGTTGTATAATTGCAGTCTCAGAAAGAAGATGAAGAGAATAGGGGTGAATATGCATTCATAGTGATAACAGTTGAAACAGTCCTCAGATTTGGCATGAGGCTGAGTAAATATGTTAGGGCATAAATCTAAAGAAGACAAACACACCATGACCAAATCTTTGAACGCAAAATTTAAGGAAAAAGTGAAGAAAACACCTAGAGAAATTCATTGGTTACAGGGAAAACCTCTTTCAATAACAGCAGGTACACCATTTGTGAACACAGAAGCCAAAATGGCAGGGTTAAACATTTTTCAAGTGCTGAAAGTAAAGTAGTATACACCAAAAAAATTATCTGTAGTGAAACAAACTGTCCTTCAGGAAGGAAGAAGAAAATATATATTCATCAAATAAGGAAAGACTAGACTAATGCTTTGTTATAAAACCAGTGCTAAGATTGCTTTACTTTCCAGACTTCTCCTTAAGGTTCCCAAAATTCCAGGGTCATTTTTAGTGATCATGATAGTGTGTGGTTTCCAGAGTGGGGTGCAATTGGATGTTCCAGTGAAGTCTCAGTTTCAGACACTCGGCCACTACCTAGGTCACGTGGTCTTCAGGAGTGTTCCTACCCTTCTTTATGTGTCATGGTCAGCTTCACTTCTTTCCCAGACATAAGAGTTTTTGTGGCTTAGAATACATAGTGATCTGTGAGGCATTTTTGGTGTGCTTGGTAATCCCCCCTCCGTCAGCTTCAGTAATTTTTCTTTCTTTTCATTCAAACTTTTAAAATTTATTTTTATTAGTGTATATGTGTAGTGTTTAATTATCACAATGCAGTACTTAATGATTTATTTATTGTGGGGAGTTTGAACATGTAGGTCATGCATATTAATTCTTACTTTCTTCTGTCCCCAATCCCTTCCTGTTCCCTCTAATCCTTCTACTTTAAAAGTTCCATTTACATTTTTTCTTCAACTTTCTTTTCTAAAAAAATAACTCCTTTTCTCTTCCTTGCCTCCCCGCTCCTTCCATCCCTTGTTCCCTTTCCCATTTGAAGATCTCCCTATGTTCTAATATCTATATTTTCTTTTGCTCTATATTTATTCTTTATGCTTTCCTCTTTATTCATATATTTTCTTTTCTTTATTAAGTTTGTTGGCATATTTTTGGTATACATTATGCTCACATTCATCAGTTGAATTTGTACCTGTACATACAGGATACACTTGGTTCAAGTCGGCAGGTATGATTTATTTCAGTCACTGTATGGTCTCAAGGTACATTCATTTATCTACAAATGCCTCAAGTTTATTAATTTTTTCTGTTAAGTCCAACCATGAAATTTGAGAAGACTCTGGTTTTGGACCCCATTGCAAAGAAGAATCATTGAAATATTGTAATGCTGCTTTTCAGAAGAAAATAGCAGCTCTCAATCAAGAAAATGTCTCCTCTTGAAATGGATGTACCGGTTTGAATTCAGTAGATGAGCTACAAAATGTTGAACATCTTATAAGAACTTTGATTAGCAGGGTGTGCTGAACTATAAAGCTGACGGTGATAAGAGTACTTGGAAGATTTCTTGGACTTTAGGAAGTTAAAAAGACGCATTCAAGTGAGGTTCGTCACAAAACAAAATTGCTGCAGTAAATGAAAAACAAGAAAAATTCTCATAGAATGCCAAAGAAAAGGCCAGAACATTTACAATACAAAAACAGAATAAAAAGAAAAATAGAAGAGCCCTGAGAGAAGCAGTCTACACATAACAGGGATATCTGAAGCAGAGGATTAAATAAATGAAGCTGAAACAATAGTTAAGAACTAACCTCAGAAAATTTTCAGAGTTGAAGAACAAAATAGGTCTGCAAATGAAGGCTCACTGGGTACCTGTAAAATTTAATGAAAATGAGCTACAGCTGGAAATGTCCTGGTGACTTTTTAAAATTTCAAGGTTAGAAAAATAATTTTTTCCACTATCCGTTCAGAGAAATCAGATCACCTACAAGATGGCAAAAGTCAAACTGACCTAAGTTTGTTTTTCTTGTTCTAAGTACTAGGATATGATAGAATATCATCTACAGACTTTTAAGTGAAAATAATTTTGAATTCAGGATTACATACAGCAGTAAGTTTGTATTTCTGTATTAAAACAACTATATTACAGTCTCAGATACTAAGAGATTAAGAAAGTGTATGGACCAGAACCTTTCCTGAAAATTTTGCTGAATAATTTACCACAGCCAATAGAAAAATTATAGAGTAGTGAGGCAGTTTACAAAAGATTTGATAGTCATCATTGAAACTAGCTGAGAAGGATAAAGTCTTAAAATTGTTAGATATAAGATTACAAAAATGCAAAATAGGTTTGTAAGCTAGATCTAAAATTTTCCATTTATGCAGTATTAAAGTGTCAAAGTGCATGCCAGATATTCAGGGAATTAGACAAAAAAACACTTATTTTTGCCATATAATATTATAGATAAAGATGCATTTTTAATAAGCAAAATATATGTTAGATGAAAGTGTTTATCACTGTGGAGAGGACAAATATTGGAAAATAGTGCAGTTTTATTTCACTTAAAAAAAACTAGCAAGCACATACTAATAATACAAGGAGAAAACTGCTACCCTGTGTACAGGTTGGAGAGAGATGGATCTATGTGAATTACTGAATTGGGAAAAACACTTATTATTGTATCACATGGTAGTTCCTACAAATCAACTTGTCATTGAGTTGCAAACAAAAATAAGCTAGTATCTAGAATATTCCTAGTTTCTGGGACATAAAAGCAGCAAAAAACAAAAAAGAAAATGTAACAAAACAAAACACCAAGGAAGCATTAAAATTTGCATAAAAGATATTAGCAAAGATAAAGGTGAATTATATTCATAAAATTGTTAAATTTGTAATTAAAAAGATACAAATTATGTTTAAAAAATCAACTGTAAAAAACAAAGATGAAAAGGGTTTAACGGTAACATAAGATATATCACATTATGTGAAATTCAGATGTAATACTTTTGGTCAGTTTTCATATGAGTGGTAGTTTTGCTGTTGTGAATTGAAATTGATACATATATTTAAAACAAACTGAAAATTAATGCATATTAAAATTCATTGATTAGTTCTTAAGGAGAAAATTTGTAGAAAAAACTGTTGGGCTCTCACTTTAATAATTATGATTTTTGATAAATCAAGTAAATGGAAGGTTAAAATGTAAAATTAAGAGATAAACTGTAGTTAAGTAATTAAGAGGTGAGATATGTGTACCCAAAATACACTACTTTGTTACTTCTTTTTGCAGTTTTCAAATTATCCTGAAGTATTTCCAATGATATTAAACTAGAATTCTGAGAAAACTTGAGTATACTTCTACAAAGCACAAATGATCACATAGCAAAAAAGACTAGAAAAGATACTGGAAAATCATATACTTGGACTTTTTTGAAATGTTGTTAAGTATCTTTTGGGTCAAAGAGAAACTTACATCAAATGCTAATGGTTTAGTAAATACAATAGTGAAAATTTGCTTTACCTGTTATGGAATGAATGTCAAAAATTTAAGGAACAGATGATTAAGACAATAAGTGCAAAATGGGACATGTACATCGAAAGAACTTAGTATGTAACTCATTTGAAAATGTTGCTACCTTCCACATGAGGAAGCATTCTACCTAACTAGTAGATTTATCCCAAAATAAACTGCCTGAAAGCCTCTTTGACCTGCCACATCCTTCTACCATGGTAATATGGCCTTGTAGCTGGCAAGGAACTAGCAAGCAATAGACTGAATTCCCTGAAATTATAAGCTGAATTAAACCTCTCTTCCTTTATATTGTGACAGGTGGGTACTGTTTCTCAGCAACTGGAAAGTAGACTAATAGAATAGGTTTTTGAACTTTTCTCCCAAGTTATAGAAGAAAAAAAAAATACTGTGGTAGTTATGGGACAAAATTGTGTCTCTTGCCCAAATAGTTCAATGCTCAAATTGCCCATTGTTCTTGAGAAAGGTAAAGAAAATAACTGAGATATTAAAAACAGATGTATCTAAATTGCTATACAATCTTAAATTCTGATGACCCACTTTATTATGACTAGGTCTTTTACCTTTTCATTCTTACTTCTGAGGAAGTCATAGATTGCAGTCACCAACAGGAACATGAAATAAAAATATATCTGTCTGTACTGTTTTCTGGGCTTTTACCAGCTGATAATTGGAAAGTTTTGAAGTACTAACTCAGATCAATACTGTAGATGTCCATTTTTTTAATCATCTAAACATCTCCTCTGTGAATTAAATTAGGTGAATTGATATTCTGTAAAGGATGTCAGAGAAGTACTGATAGTGAACATCAGTGGGAAAATATGTGTCATCAGATACTATTGATAACAATGTAAACATTTTACTATTGGCTGGATGTATGTTAACAAACTAAAACTTCTGCATTCATTACCAAATAAAATAAAGAAAATTTATACCCAGAGCCAGGGATGTAGCTCAGTGGTTCTGCCGCCTGCCTTGCAAGTGCAAGGACCCAAGTTCGATCCCCAGTATGAATTAATTAATTAATTAATTAATTAATTAATTTTACATCCGAGAAGATCCAAATTGAGGCTTTTCGATTTACAGAGGGAAATTACGATTTAAATTATTGAAATATGTGTAAGGTAGAGAGATTTTGTTCACTCTTCGTTGAAACACTATATTTTTAGATTCCTCAAACCTTGTTTTTCATATTCTCTCTCATTTTTTTTTTTTTTTTTTTGGTGCCAGGGATTGAACTCGGGTCCTTGCACTTGCAAGGCAGGCCACCGAACCACTGAGCTAAATTCCCAGCCCCTCCTATTCTCTTTCTTTTGCAGCTAGCTATCTCTTTCCTCTGCCCTTGTTTAAGGCTATAGGTAATACAGCACACTCCTTTATTACTAATAATAATATGCCTGAATCAGTTTTACTATAGATTGTTAATAATCATGCTGTTTCAAACTATTGCTCAAATATCAATTTCTATAATTTATATCGTTTAACTCCAAGAAAAGATAAATGATGAACTCACAGTAGTAGATTATACTGTTCTAAATTTTCAGACATAAAACAAAAAATGATAATAATATATAGCTACATCAGATCATCTTCCATATATTGATACTCTTGTAAATGTGAGTGAAGTTATCTTTGCAGTGGAATCAGATTTATAAATATTATTGGAATGAAACTGATTTAATTCAATGAGAAATCCCAGAAACAATATAACTAGCACCACTCTGAAAATGGTTAAATTTCTTGTATTTTTCCTAGTTTATTTTCTTAAAATGGACTTATTCCTTTTTTAGAGCAAATAAGGAGTAAGATTTTCATTTCTGCAGGATGAGAACTAGACCATTATTACAAGTGTATGTCTCTCCAGATTTCTCAGAAGACAGTTTACTTACCAGGCTAAAAAAGAAACATTTCTTTTCTGGTTGTATTACTAATACTTTTTAGAACAAAGGATATTCAATATTTCCACGGGAATGAATGACATAGGGTAGTAATTATATATTCCTTACTTTATCAAATATATGAAAAACAAATAAACAAATATAAAATATAAAACAGTTTAGGCCCTGGGCCATGGTCTGTGACTTCAATTTCTTTTCTTTTTTCTTTCGGTCAATTAGCAGGAAGTCTGCGTTACTACGGAATTTTAGGTACCTTACATAATACCACAATTAATATTGCAAAATTATATCTGTAAATATGAAAAAGTAGAAAGACTAAACCTTATCCAATTTGAAGAAAACAAGCATATAACTTATATATACATATTGAAGTGATGGATTAGGCATCATTGTCACTTGTTTTCTTTAGCAAGAGGGAAAAAACCTTAAAATAATTTAACTTCCACTTATGTGTACTCATTTCATATGTTATCTGGGGCTTTGAATTCTTTTATGAAGCCATTATCTTTGCATGATCCCAAACATTATTTTAAAAAAGCAGTATGAAATCATGCTGATGAAGACTGACACTAAGCATGATGATCACTACTGAAGCTAAACATTTATAAACAAGACTTCCACTCTCTAATACAATCAACAATACTAAATAGTGATAAACTCCACACTATCTGATGATGCGGCCTGTGGCTTTGGCTAGGAGGGACAAAAGGGAAGCACTGTGTCCAGAAGTTTTTCAACTACTATGCAAGGACTAAGTGTTCTTGAGCTCCAGTAGCACATAACAGCAGAACTGTGTGAAAATAATTCTAAATGATCCATGACAATTTGGTTATAGCAGCTCAGCTTCTAGGTCAGCCAACCAGTGATAACTTCAAATTTCTGAAAGTCAGTCAATCAATGAAGCAAAACTGCAGTTAACACTGAAGTTAGATATCTGTAAATTTAAATGTTAAACTCCCAAATTACAACTGTTTGCTATTCTTGGAACAGCATTTTCCAATTTTTTAAAAATTAGATTTCCCTTCACTACTGAGTGATAATTTCAGATTTTTTCCTCCCTCCTTAGCTCCCATCCTCACTTTTTCTTTTCTTCCTTCCTTTTTTCTGTCCTTTCACATTTTTATTTCTCACCTTTCTTTGGTGTAAATTGAAGTCTGGCTGTCTCTATGCTGTCCATATTTAATGATGCAGTTTAGTACACATCAGGTTACAGGGCCCAAAACTAAAGGTAAAATAAACATACCCTACACATTCCTTTATTTTTTATATTTATACATCTATATGCATATATATTCAACATTTTTATCTAGATGATAAAAATCTTAACAGTTACACAATAAAATTTACATATAATGACATATATGTATATTTTATAATTTTGCTACCAAAGAGCTAAATCAGCAGCATTGACAATGACAAAGAGATTTAGTAGTAAATATGACACAAAAGAAAGGTTGTACCTTATTTTCCTGACATTGGCTACTAAATTTTCAGAAATAATACTGAAAAGAAAAAGAAAAATTCAGCATTGCTTTAACAGTTCATTGACATCTCATTGACATTTTATTAAGAAGTTACGTTTTTTTCCTCTTTAAGATTTTCTCAGAAAATCCATTTTCCTTTTAAAATGAGAACATTCTCCACAAAAATAAAAAGCTATGTATGAAATGTATAAGGCAGAGAAATGCTTTAGGGGGCATGTGTGGGTTGGGAGAGACTAAAGTATTTGGCAAAGAATTTGTTCATGTTCTTGTGTTTACAAGCTGAAATATATCAAAGGAAATAAAAATCTCATGATCTTATCCTAGAGAGATGTCAGCTACTGAGGAAGAAAACACTTACGGGCTTTAGTAAGACTCATAGAGTAGGTCAGTTAAATGCAAATTGTAAAACTCAAAGGTTGGTTTTAATCCACATTGCTTGCTTAAAAGAGAGTTTAAGCCTCTCAAAGTTCCAAGAGGCTCATATATTTAGAGCTGGTTGAAATCCTATTTAACCAAAGAAGGATTATGTGGATCAATAAAAGAGGTAGGGTTTTTTATTTCTTTGTTTTAACATAACATTCTCTGAACCATTCTTGGTTATTAGTGTTTAGCATTAGTCTTTGTGAAACTTTTTTTGTGCCTGAGCCTACTTACCAGTGGGCAAGAAAGGGAAGGGAGGCATATTTACAAGAAGTTAAGTGCTACACCTCACAATTTCCACCTGTAAACACTCTTCCAATATTGTCTTTTAAAACTTGACATGTTTTACTATCTTTCGAATTCTTTCTTATGTTTTCTATATATTTTAGTTTAGGTAATTTTGGTCTATACATTTTTTTTTCTTCTTGTGTTTATTAAATTTGTAAAACAAACTTGAAAAATTCTCTTGTGACAGTATCATTTCTTACTGGTAAGGAACATAAGTTAATCGTACATGTTTCATTTTATTCTTGCATTCACTCATTCACTTCTTAATTCTAGAAATATTTAAGGATCTCTTATGTGTAATTAACTGGCTTAAGTTAAAAATTATAAAAATATTTGAAACGAAAATGAAGCCTACAATTAAATGAGAAATGGAGTAAAGCAAGTAGCTAGTAATATTCAAGCTAAGACAAGAGTAAATCTGATTGGAAAAGGAAGTTAATGTCAGGAAAAGTCTTGGAGGAATCTAAAATCAATCTGAGTATTAGTGTTTGATTTTTAGGCATATATATTTATAATATATATATATGTAATAAAAATTAAAAAATAGATATTATATATAATAAAATTAGGCATATATATATAAATAATAATTAGTATTAGTGTTTGATTTTTAGGCATATATATTTATAATATATATATATGTAATAAAAATTAAAAAATAGATATTATATATAATAAAATTAGGCATATATATATGAAAATAATAATTTCTCCATACAGGTAAAATGGATTAGGAAAAGAGGCCAAAAAAAGGCTCAGCAACCAACAATGTCCTTGAGGAGATTTAATTAAAAATGGGAAATAAATCTGTTAGTAGGCAAAAACTACAAGAATGTTTGTTACTGTTGTTCTAATACAGACATTAGTTTTCTAACAAGTAAATATAAAATCAAATAATATGACAAACCTTATTTTAACAATTCTTGGTTTTGATATACAAAGATCATCCTCCTGCTATGTAATATCAAAGCTGAGCAAACTTCTAAAATGTAGGATAGATTTAGATTTAGGTGATAAAAACTCTACTTATTGTGTATAGTTAATGTTAATGACCTTAGAATTATCAATCTGACACATATTTGAAAACTAAAAAGACATTATTTAAAAAATAATTGTTACTTTAACAAAGATTCTAAAAAATGATATATGCACCTATTATGGAAAGTATGGGTCTGTTGCTTGCACCCCTATTCACCCATATTATTAGATGATAACTGTATTCAATCAAGAACCAAATTTCTAGGAATTTGCTACCTGTCAAGCCAAATATTAAAGTGACCTAGTTCTGGAATTCATGCCTTTTTTGTTACTTACGTACATTACCTTAAGTCTACAAAAGAGATTTTATCCATTCATGGTGTATTGGTTAATAAAGACAAACAGAAAGAAGAGGTCCCTGCAATGAAATAATATCGAGAGTTCCATTACATATAGCAGTATTGGTAGTGTTTCTTCCACTGAATCAAGATAGAAAACTGCTTGTCATTAATCATGAATTAATTTGTGCAATCTTGATAAAGAGTACAAAGTTCACAAAAAAACTACATGTATACCTACTTGAAAGCACTTCCTATGAATATATGGCAATTTTAATAACTATTTCTTTAAAGTTATTAACATAGTACAAAAAACATAAAAAAGATGCTCACAATGGCAAGTTGTAATCATATTTTTACTAAAACAATGACTGAAAATATATGTTGTTTCAATATTTATTAGCTGCAACTGACAACGAAAAATGTTAGTGTCAGTTTTAAAGTCATTTTATCAAGTTTTTTACATTACATATATTTCTTTTCTTATGTAAGACAATATTTCTTTTCCTTTAATTTATCAAAAGACAGTATTACATCACAAATTGGGCCATTCATTTTTAGGAAATATTTAACATATATTTAAGTAATTGTCAGGAATCTTTACAGTAATTCTTAAGTGAAAGAAGGAAAAAATTTCTTTTATTTGATCTTAAACATTTAAACATGAATATATCTAGCTAAAATTTGCCCAGTAATCCAAAATACTTCAACAATAATTAATGATTTTAACATAATTATTTTAAGCTGTAGTCTGATTATCTTATATCTACTATTTTCCAATGAGCCTGATAATTTGAGTTGAAGGTAGCTATTGTTAAATTTTTAAAGAAAAACAACTGAAGTTAAAATTACTGATTTTTAATGGTGAAAATATAATTCAGATGCTTAAAATGAAATTCATTTGAAAATCACTATATTTAAGAATAGATTTTGCTTAACAGGATGCTTGAAGTGTTTCAGCAAACAAGAAATTTGCTAACAAAAAGTAGACTTATTCTCAGTATAAGTCTTATTCATGTTATAAAAATAAACACATTTGTATCTTTTTCCATATGTGATATACAATAATCAAAAATATGTTAATTTTCCCTCTAAATTTACGTTTTTGCCAATTTGCATTTGTATACCTAACAATTCAATACTAAATTATTCAATAAAAATATTTTGAGTCTTTTGTAATTTTACATGGAGTTATGATTTTACCAATTTCCTTTTAATTGATGTTTACATTCTGTACTAAACTGATTCTAAATCCTAAAGAGTGATTATAATCATTTGGCAATTTGAAGGGTGAAAAAATATGTGTAATCCTAGGTCATATCCTAGGAAAAGAAAATTAAGTTTTTTTCTTTGGAAAGGACAAGAAATTATATATTTTAAAGTCCACATCCAATCAAATATTTACTGTTTTGACAATGGTTCTTCTAGCACATATATTTTGGTCTTCTCTCCAAGATCCATTTTGCTTGCATTTCCTGTAAGGAGAACATAATTGTTTTGTAGTAAAATAATTATTTAGTTTTTAAAGAAGTAAATGTATAAGTCAATTATGGACTCCACAGTTATATCTCAGTTTTAAAAATTCCTTTTAAAATTATTTACTTTTATTTCTTTCATTTCATACTTTTAAATATTACTATGCTAAAATCTAATATGTACAGTAATTATATGGTAATCTTGTTAGGTTCATTTTTGTTGGACCTCCATATCAGAGGATGTTTTGCTAAATCTGAGATGATTTCCAGATATGTAACTTACCAAATACTGACTATGATTCTTACATAATCACAAAATTAAAATGACCAACACAGGAAAAAATACATCTTTTTTAAACCTCTTTTATTAAAGAAACTCAGAATTTCCAAAAGTTAGTTCTGAAAGAAAAATTCCAATGCAAAAGAATTGGTGGCCAGAAAGTTGTTTCCAGCTTTGATTTTTCTAAATTTTGTATCAGTTAGCTAAACTGGATGGAGCTACTCTGCTTCATACTCCTTGTTAAGTAGTTTCCCCTTAGGAAACTTATGTTGGAAAAATCAACATAATTTATTGAACATTGAAAAAGAAAAATGAGGAAATGAATGCACACATTACATAAAACCATGAACACAGCAATGGTGAATGATAACATTTTCTCATATCTTTTACTATTTGCTTTCTGACTTGAGCACACATTGACTCTGAGTAGATTATCTTGTCCCTACTTAGGCCATTTCCTTTCTCATATTTTCTCTTTGAAGTATGTTCTTTTAGACATGCTCTCTAGCACAGTAACCTTCACAATGCATGAGTAAGACAATGTGCTGCAAGAAATCAATTACCCTAGAGTAAATCCTCTGTCAATATTTCCTTTCAATACCTTATTAGTTTTAATAGGATTCTGTTTTCTTGTAGATCTTTCCACAAGTATGTGCTAAGCTTATTTCCATTAAATGATATTTCATTTGTGTCTTATTGAACTAAGAATCCCTTTATTATAACCTAAATATATGTTTGGTCAACAGTCACTACACAACAAAAGAAAAAATAAATTGCCTTCAACTCCTCTGGCTTTGTTTGTTTGTTTTTGGGTAGTGGGGATCAAACTCGGGACCTTGTTATTGTGAGGCAGGCAGCAGAAGCACTGAGCTAAATTCCTGGCCCTGCTAGCTTTATGCATCAGCTGCTACTGATGGATGTGGAGGTACATGTGCTTAGTTATACAGTGAAGTAACAGAACATTTGTATTTTGATGAAAATACATACACATCTGATTTTTTCCTTAGTATTTATTTATATATTTATAATCCTTCTATACTAGTGCTAGTACATTGTTAGCAATTTTTTTCAGCAAATATACTTTTAAAATAATGACAGAATGATTTTGGACGTTAGGTAAACTATTTACACTGTCTGCTAATTTTCAAAAGAAAATTTTATTAGGTACAGCACTTGATAGAAGTGCATGCCAGGAGGATATTGATTTTTACCTCCTAATTATGACTGTACAAACACAGAGAATTCAACACTGTTACTCTTTATGCTTTAAAGTGAAGTGTGTGTATGCATTTACATATGTATGCAAGATTGTATCTCTCTATTATAATTTATCATTCTTTATAGATGCTGCTGAATAATATTTCTTGCTGTAGGGAACTGTTATCGCAAAGTATGTAGAAATTATAATCCGTCATTGCTCATGTTGAAATTTTTCTCTATTATTTTTCATTTGTAAAGATCAGATTCACTATCATAACTTCAGGCTCATACTCAAAAAACCTATTAGAAAACTTACATTGCTCATGATTCAGCTATAAAAACTACTTTAACAACCAATTAAAACAAAATATATGAAAAATAGGAAAAAGTAATAAATCAATCATTTCATGTTCATTCAGAGTTGTGGTTCCTACAATAATATGGATTTTGTGTGAAAATATAACATAACCATTAATAGATTCTAGTACTATGATTTCATATATTCAAGATTTTTGCTATAGTCTAAAAAGTGAGCATTATATGTGTTTGAAAATTCAGTTACTATTGAATTACACTTTATGGTTAGCATAGTGATAAAATATTCAATGACTTATTAGGAAGAAAAGAAAATATATTGCAGGACTTAATAGATCATGAATGAAGATATGTATCTAATAACAGATTAGTAGAGGCAACATCAAAGTTTCCTTCCATTTTATAAAGAAAATGTAAAATCAGGAAAATAATAAGAAAATAAAGAAGAAACAATAATTACATTAATACAATTTCAAAATTAGCAAGGAAAGAAAAAGAATGTTATCAAACATCATTTAAATTTAAATTATACTAATACAAGTAGATGCATGCCCACAATGATATGATGGTCTTCAGGGTGATAAAGGAGTGTATGTGTAACACTATTACTACTTCAAGGATTTTGATGATCACATGAAATTTCCTGTCCTCTGAGGTAGTAGCTAAATGCAATGTTTAAATGGTACTTGCTCCCCAAGGAAATTTAACATGAGATTCTCATACTTATACCACTTTTTTATCTTTCCTATGTCCTATGTATTTTGGACAACCTAATAAAAGGCAACACACTAATCTATGACACCTAACACAAGTTTCCATGGGCAATGACCTTTGTGTTTTTTATGTCTTCATCTTTACTAATAAATTTAGAAACAACATCAATGCAAAATTTTATCATTTCACTTATAAAGTTAGAATCAGTGATCGTTGTTTGAGCATTAAAGTGCACAGACCATTTTATTCACACATGTTTCTACACCCATCCCTTCATTTTTGAGATTTCCATTACCTACATTATTTCACTGCAGTATGAGGCCTTTGACATTTTACCCCTTCTTGCCAAGAACTGACCACTGTGACATTCATGATCTAATGAAAAATTATGGAATCTTGACTTTCAGAATCTTAGTTGAAGCAATGTCTAAGTGATGCAATTCATCTTGATCTGCATCCATGTATAAGATCTCTAATTCTAGCTTTCCATTCCATTTTGTCTACATTTTGGCTGTTCCACACATATCCCTTTAAAAAAATTGTTTGGCCTTCTTGTCCAACATTACAGTGACAAGAATTAGAGCAGAGAGGCTTCACTCTCTCAGTGGAGCAGTGGCAACACTAATTCCTGCCCATCATCTCCAGGTGGAGTTCTCCCCTGGTCTGCATGTGCCGAGATGCTCAAACCTGAAGTGCACGCACCTGCATTTTGCTCTCACACTGCATAGCAGCCATGGAGTCAGAAACTGTGACTTGACCTCCATCACTTACACATTCTCAGGGAGACATCAAAATTCTGCATCATCAGATAATCATGACATGGCAGCAAGATAGTGATGACAATGGGCTAATAGTACCTGCCTGACCCATTAACAAAATGCACGGAGCAATCACCAGAATTCTGCCATTGGTCTATCAGTATCAACAGTGACACGGTTGATGAGTCAGGCTACATGGCTACCAGGTCTTTCAAGTGTCTTTCAAGGAATCTACTACTCTCGGGCTGGTGCAGATTTTCCTTTCCTACTCCATTTTTATGAAATAGATAGCTAGATGGGCTTCTTCTTACCTTTTTTTCAGGATGTTCTTTGCCAACTGCCTCTTACCTCCCCTTTTTTCTTTCCGTGATTTGCTCCAAAGCCAGTTTCCAAGTGCAATCAGCAATCTGCATAGGCACCACATTTATAATAGTAGTTGACTCCTCTCTCATCTCACTTTTCTGTTGTACTTTTCTACTTCACATTTATTACAATTACGAGTCAAATAATAACATTTCTTTCAGTCACTGACAGACTGATGCATGACAATGATAACATTTGATTATATTACCTAATGATGCTGTCATTATATTCTGGAAAAGTAGACTTTGTATAATGACAAAGCCATCCAGATGATGATGTATTTTTAAATTTTTAAATGTTATTTAAGTTTTTGGTACCAGGGATCTACCTCGGAACTTTGCACTTGGGAAGCAGGTGGCAGAACCACTGAGCTAAATTCACTGCCCAATGAAGTAGTTTTTAGAAGATGTCCTTATCATTAAGCAATTTACAACTGTACATAATATACTTATTTATTTTGCTTTTGTTTAGTTTCCATCACTTTGATTTAATTATAAAAAGAAACAGATTACATTGTTTTGTATTTTATTTATTTATGATGATTTTCTTCACCATAGAAAAGTGTTAGGTGCATTGTAGAACTCAAGAATTAGTTGATCAATTAGTGGATTAAAATTTGCAGATCAATATTGCCTTTACTTGATTTTTTCTTTTCTCACATTTAAACCACAGGTTATTATTGAATTTAATGAAGAATTAAGTGTTCTCAGCCAGAGATAAAATGCATCTAAAGGATAGAAATAGTTGCAGCTCATATTAAAGCTTGTGCCACCTTTGTTATTGTGCCACAATGTGATTATTAGTAATTGTTTTATTATCACCATGTTATTGAGTAGAGGGTATACAGTATATAAAAAACTTAAATAATAGATGCAGCAACTACAGGTATTCCAGCACCATGCTTGAATATTTACATCAGGAAGTTCAACAGTAAAGGTAATCGTTGGGAGGGACTGGTCATGGGGATTGCTGCCTTCTATTCTGAGAAATATGTTCAAAGTAAATTACTACTGAGTTGCTATAATAGTTACATAAATTAATATCTTATGTATTTCTTTCCTGAAAACAGGCAACACAAATTGTGCATTACAAAACAACCTTTTGGGAAACTATAGGCTTCTCATAGTCTATGCATTGACCTTATATAATATTAAACATGAAAAATATAGATTAATACAGTATATTCATAAATCTGACAGTGTTGAATATATATTTGCAATTTTAATTAAAAAGTTTTAATATGATGTTTATAACATGGAGAGGAGAAGTTTACATTAGGACGTGGATTGGAAGAACTACAGCTGTAGTACTGCACACGGAGCTACAACTCAGAAGTTCAAGGCTTGAGAAGCATCCGATAACATTCTGGGAACACTCTACATTGAGAAAGTATATGAATAGCTAGAACCAGGTATTCATAAAAAATATTTTCTAATCCTTTGCTAGAGATAATCTGTAAGGAACTGTTTGTTCTCATGTAAGTATTGTGCATGTATCTAAAAAAACTGAGGTTGGTGAGAGTTGACTGCTGTTTGCCTGTGAGAGCTTTATCCCTCTGCTCCTCCGCAAAACTACATTCCAGCTGTCTGGCTTCTTCGAGTCCCCTATGACAACAATATAACAGATAAATATTATTACTGAAATATTTGACAATTTCAAACTGATGAAATAAATTACAAATCATACATGAAATGAGTATATTTTAGGGCTGAAGATTTAGCTTAGTGGTTCCACCACCTGCCTTGCAAGCACAAAAGGTCCTGAGTTCAATGCCCCGTACCAAAAAAAAAAAAAAAAAA